GGTTTCGACAGCAGGGTAACGAGAGGCGGTGACAGCTTCTTCGACAAAGAAGTGATGTGCCTTTCGTCAGCTATGTAGTTCATAAGGTAGAGGATGACGCGGATCGACGTGAGGACGACAGAGGAGTTGGAGTGGGAAAGGCGAGGAGCTACACGCTCGGCGAGCAGGAGTGCTTCTGCTGAGTCCTGAGGCACATATGACATCAAAGCATCAAGGATGTACGTTTGCCCCCATCTAGTAAATCGTTAGCAGTGCGGACAAAGCATACTGAAGGATCAAGGGCAGATTATCTTACTCAGAACAGTCCGGTAGGATAGAAACAAGTTTTGAGGCGCTCGCATAGTCAATCGTTAGGGATATCGATTCACTTCGTCCCCAGATATCTGTCAAAGAAGCAAGAACACTCGACACGACGGTTGGATTCTCATCCTTGAGCATCCGGTTGAGCCGATCGATGAGGTCCGAGCCCTCAACCATTTTTTTATCGTGCTCGTAGAGCTTTGAAACGCAAAAAGCTGCAGTTTTGCGAACATAAGGATCAATGTCCCCCATCAAACGTTTAAGAGGCTGAACGGTTGCTTCGACGAACTCGCGAACGTGCACATATGAGATAGTCCGCAGAGCCAACGCGCGCACAAGCGGGTTCGAGTCATCCATATCCTGAGGCCCGATGTTAGCTCATAAATAGGAGCATCTATCAATTATATGATCGTCATACATCTACCAATATGGGCAGCGCCTTCAAGGCGACATCGGGCTTCATCCTTGAGTAGTTAACCAGGAAGAGAAAGCACCTATTATACAGAGTCAGTCGTCTGTTGGTGCCCGCGCCTTGTATCCGTGCTCCTCCCTAGGGACGTACATCTTCTTTATCTCCAGGCTGGGCAAGTTCATACAACCGATCACATCGGGAAATAAGGCGACCATGTCATTGTTGCTCATGGTCATATTGGCAACGATCTTCTTGAGCGCGATTTTCTTCGCCGAGAAATTCTTGTCCTTCTTGCCGCCGCTATTGAGCTCCTGTCGCAGCTCCGCGACTTTGCCCTGTGAAAATTGAGAGAATGGTAAGCCATAGTTGGTCGCAAAAGGAAGCACGGCGATGAACATAGAGGGAGATGTGGTTTGAAATCACATAAATGGATAATCGATATGATAGAAGCAAGTATACAACGGCAGGTGGGCTTCTGGAAGAATACAAGGGGCAAGAATGCCAGCCAGTCCGTCATTAGATGACGCTCCAAGACAAGACTCGACGTGAGGGGGAGGAGAGGGGGAGATAAGGCAATGCATCAATGGAGTGCTTAGTCGCACTTCCATGATCTAGATAGGTCCGATGACCAGCATAGCAAGCATATAAACATACCCTAGCAAACAGCTTCGCATCACCCCCGCTGGAACTCATGTTGCGTGGCTTTGCGGACGGGCAAATAAAGTCTCCTTAGCTCCTTTCAAGTCTGCGAACGTTCCCGTGTGAGGATCGGACTCAGCTTCGATCGCGGATTCACATGAACCTTGTCAAGGCGATTTATAAGAAGAGAGGATCGTTCTAGACGGCCGTGCTATGTCCCTTCAGCTGCTCTGCTCCTTCAACGCCTCCATGCCTTGGGGAATCGTCGTGGTGCTTAAGTCGTTTTCACAAAGTGTCGGTATGGCGGATGCTCAAGTCCTGGACTGAGTCAAGTCTGGGTTTTGTCGCGGAATATTGCGCAGTCGCAAATATCGATTAGTGACGAAGAGACTCAAAATAAGAAAATGAGACTATAAGTGTCGAATATCATTGTGGTTTTAAACGTTCTGGATCCGTCGAATGGTTCAGGGAATCAGGAGTGGATCGGCTGCCGCCAGCTCCGCGTGCTTGTGGGGAGTTCTGACCACCGATTAGATCAACTCCGTCCTGATCATCAATCCGCATCATTTGCAATTTTGCTCCAACTCGCCGGTCTCTCACGTTTTTGGCTTTAAAAGAACGGCGTTGACCGTGTCCTCTGCGCCAAGTCATCCAGCATGGCATCCAAACCTTTCAGTCCTCCACCACCGCCGCAATGGGTGGTTGCGCTGAACACCCCTATGCCGCGTCCTACCAAGGCGGCATCCAGTATCCCTGATCCTCCGGGGTTCTCCAGCAGCAAAGCACTCGGCAAGGGCGTAAGTCACTCGCGATGTGTAGATTTCTTTAATTGAGTGCGGCCATGGTTGGAAGCAAACTAACTGTGTTGTTTTTTTAGCGTGCTCAACAGCAATCAACTACCTCCACCACCGCTAAGCCTGACGAAACCGATACTCTAAAGCTGAAAAAAGCGTGGGAGATTGCTCTCGCTCCTTCGAAGCAGATCCCCATGAATGCGATCATGATGTATATGTCTGGAAACAGTCTTCAGATCTTCAGTATCATGATGGTCTTCATGTTGTTCAAAGGCCCCATCCAGGGTTTGATGAACACCAATACTGCCTTCGCGAAGTTTGACACCGAAGGTATTCGCGGGAAGTTGATCGGAGTGAAGGCTGTTTATGTCCTCATGCAACTGGGTTTGCTGGGACTGGGAATTTGGAAGGTTAATGCCATGGGACTTTTGCCGTATGATCAATCAATCTTGTGCTCATCGCGGTTTATCTCTCGCAGATTTACTAATACGAAATTCCAAAACAGGACTACCAGATCAGATTGGCTTGCTTGGGAGTCGGAACGACAACCTCTGGAACGAGCTTATTTTGCTTTCGGTTAGAGTGTATATCCACGAAAATCTTCAAAATAGCAACAATAAGAAAGCAACCGACATTCCGTCCTTTTTTCAATTTGCTACATTGGTTAATAATGTCCCTGATGTTCAACGCTGTATATATCGGTCAAGTATGTACATCCGTTGGGTCGTAAGAAATATTGTGGCCATCACAGTTTTGCTATGTTACTCGCGAGCACGAAGCGCTTTATCACAGGCAAGATGGAAGATCTGGGCGAATCGCCACACATCTACATAAGTGTTATACATAGGCGCCGGTGCAACCCGAATGACGTCTGGTTTCCTCTCGTCTATAATTACTGCAACCTCATCCAACGATTCAAGGATACTATCGAGAAGGCCCGGTTGGAGACGTATACTCAATTGAGCTCCACGCTCTGCTGGATTCGAGGGTGTGATAATGCTGAAGGGCCTTTTCTCGGAGCTTTCGGTCTGAGGGTCGCAGAGAAGGAGGTGTTCCAAGTATCCTGTGAGGTTCAAGGACTTTTTGCGAATTTCAGCCATCGATGTCTGATTAAACAATTCCAATGATGCCACTACTGCATTCATATCCAGAACTGATGGGTTGGATAGCTGAAACCCGGCCGCTCCTTGTTGGGGCACGAAGTCTGGTATACCAGGTCAGAAATTCAATATAAAACACATCTGATTCGGCGAGATCAACATACGGTTGTTCATCAAGAAACGAGTTTCCTTATCCCCTCCCCACCAGCCAGAAAACCGGGGACGAAAAGGCTCCGTCCCAGATCCGGCCTGTTCCAAGTCCACTCGGCCATGCCTCTCATGGACAAACAACGCTGCCATCCCTCCAGGTCCGGCGTTGAGATACTTGTAAGTACACCAAGCAGCAAAATCGACGTTCCAATCATGCAGTCGCAGGTCAACATTGCCTGCCGCGTGGGCACAATCCCAGCCAACAAGAATACCTTTAGACTGGGCATAAGCGGTGATCCTTTGGATATCAAAGTATTGCCCTGTATAGAATTGAATTGCGGATAGGAGGATCAGAGCAGTGCTATGCGCATTCTCATCGATGACTCGGAGGATATATTCGGTGTCCAGAATGGGCCGATCAAGGTCTTCTGGCTCTATAAGGACCATCGAATCCTTTGGGTCGAGATTGTGATGCATGATCTGGGATTCAACGGCATACTAACCCGGACTCGTGTTAGCTTTAGCCACTTAAACGTTGAAGATTGGATCGACTCCAGAAAACATACATGATCACTCGGAAATGCCTTGCCTTCAATGATGATCTTATATCTTTCCTGAGTGGGTCGATAGAAACTGGCCATCAGGAGATGTAGGTTGGTCGTTAACGTGCCCATCACTGCTACTTCACTTTTTAATGCACCCACAACCGGGGCCATGAGTTTGGCCCCAGCCTCGTCGACATCAACAAATGGAGGAAGCAGCTGGTCATCATGCGGAACGAAATGACCGGTTACGCCCTTGGTTGCCCATGTCCGAAGGTAGTATTCGATGTACTTCCGGATGCTACGAGGTTGAAGACCAAGCGAGTTACCGCAGAGGTAAATACATTCTTCATCGAACGTCTCTTCTGTTTCTGCAACATGGACGCAGACACAGCCTGTATTAGCGAAGTAAATGGGGAGTCTATACGAAGTCGTACATACATACCATCGTCCGGGAACAGAGTCTTTCTTTTAAGATCCTTTTTTGACGGAATGATGAATTCGTCTCTGAAGCGACGCAATGGGTCTTGTGCATCTAGTAACTCTGCATACTCTTTGGAAAATGCCCTGATATCATCTGCGTAAGGAAGCGGGGGCCCGCTCTGGATTTCCTGGACATGTAGTCGAGAACCCATTCTGCGTGAACTTTGCGTGAGCGATGATGTAGAGTATAACTCCCCTGAATGCCACAAATTACTGCAAGACGTGGTCAGTCTCTAAACTGGGCTCAAACAGCGATTCATAGCAGCATTGTCCATTGCCGCTCGTGGTTGTCACCCCTCATGACGATTATCGCTGGCGGGAATCACTATTCTGCCGCTGCTTACCGACCCGACTGGCCAATGGCGTCATGCGGAACTATCTGACTAACGGGAAACTTTTGGTGTTTGCAGGATATATAATCAAGCTTGCCGATGACAAACAAGTATTGTCTTATTCAAAGGACCTGAAAATAATATGCGACTTGTTTGACATACATCTTGACAACTCCTAAAATCTACTTCAATAAATGTCTAAGCCAGCGTTATCCTCAGCCGCTCTTCGGCTATCGCGACGCCAAAACATGTCTGGAGTGGCGGTTGTACGCTTCACTTCCAGCAGAGCATCGAATTCGGCCTGTCGCTTGTCCACGCCTTTCTCCTCCTGCAGCACTACTATTCCTCGGTCTATTTCGAGCTCTCTTATTACATCTACAACCAATACTTCCTTTCGAATCCCTTCCACAAGACGTTCTCTGAATTACCGCCAACGCTGCGCCTTCTCCGCATCAGCTGCTCGGCCGGGCGTGAAAGTTGTACAAAATCCGAGGGTGGACGATGAAGGGAATACGTTGATGATCAATATTTCGCCTCGGGCAGCAGAGGTATGTTGGATAACTCTCTTAAAATTGTGTCTCTGCCCCTTTGCAGAAATGTCAACCCGTTAAGGGTACCATCTGCCGTGGCTTCTTTACATAACAGCGCTTTGTTGGGAGGAGAAGAGCTGCGCCACCGAGGTATAAGCCTCCTCTTGCGCAGATATAGCACATACGACCATAGGGTGTGGAAAACAGGGCTTCCCGTCCGCTCAGCCGTACTTAAGCCACACGCCGGCCGGTTAGTAGTTGGGTGGGTGACCACCAGCGAATCCCGGCTGTTGTATGTTTTTGTTAACCCTTTTCTTTTTGGCTTGTTCAATTTGTCTTCATCATCTTATCACCTTTCTACTTTTCATTCAAGGAGCATATCATTTTTCCGAGGTACTGACTTGCTGGCCAGCGTCTTCGAGAAATCACGGATCCATCCTCTTCCCCGTCGGCAACAAAGGAGGAGAATCCATACCATCATCTCCGGGTCACTGTTACCAGCGGAGGGTGTCACGGCTTCCAGTACCTCATGTCTCTCGAAGCAACCTCGAAGATTGACCCCGAGGAAGACACGGTATTTGAAGCGGAACCCGAACAAGGCACGACCTCGGGGCCCGGCGAAGCAAAGGTGGTCATGGATGAACCCTCTTTGGAACTCTTATCGGGGAGCACGGTCGACTATACCATGGAACTGATTGGCAGTCAATTCAAGATTGTTGATAATCCGCGGGCAACGACCAACTGCGGTTGCGGAACGAGCTTCGACGTCAAGGATTAAATAATCTCCCTGGTCAGGTTTTGGATGCAGATATATCAGGACCGATTTGCGCATTCTCTTCAATGTATATCACAATATTATCGGATAGAGTAATAGATACTATACCCCACTTCTCATCTGGGTGACGACCAGTGCTTCTATACTCAGCGAGCCTTCTTGTGACAAGCTATATATTTTATGTGCTGAAGCCTCGCCGCGCCATCTGAAGCAACCATGACTGAAGTGAGACATTCTTTTATTTGCAAACATGATGCATAGACCGTATAATAAATAATTAGAGAAACATAAATGTAACATTTACGCCCCTGAATCAACCATCTAAACTCATTTTGATCGCGACGAACCCGTGTCCCGAGCAAATCAAGGCCGTAAACCTGGGATACAGCTTGTTAAAAACAAAATGAAGATGAAGAGAAAATGGTGGGCACGGAACAAAATTCATCATGGGAGGGGCTAATCATTTGCCATACTGCCTCTTTTACCCCTATGTTTTCTTTCACGGAAGATGAATGGCATCACTTCGAAACTAGGGTTTTCCAAACACCACACTTAGCTGCAACCTCTAGGCCCTGATCGGCTTTTCATAACTCCTGGAGCGGTCGAGGCGTTACCGCTGGACTGCTCGGTGTCCACTTGATTGCCTCACATATCCTATGCACTGGCATAACACATACCTCATTTCGAAGCCTCAGCCAGAGGTTCGGAGTGAAACGAGGTGGTCATCTAGTAAACTCTGGCCAAGTTTCTCAGGTACCAGTCCACCAGACGGCGGCCGGCCTTGGTTTCGCTGACGTGGATCAGGTCATTCTCCAGCGCATAGTCGAGGTCATTCGCGCTGACGACCTCACCCTCCAACAGGCCACCCTCGACCCAGCGCACCTGACGGCTGCGCTGCTTGTTCACCAGCAGCCAAGAGCGGAGCACCTCGGGCTGGACCTCGAGGAATCCGGCGAGTTTCTTCAGGTCCATGGTCGTGTAGAGTTTGAGGTACGACCGGATGGTAGGGTTGTATAGGGTGTTCTTGACCTCATCCATGAAAATAGCGGTGTGGTGGTCGACAGGGTCGATGTTAACAGCCGGGTTGTCAAAGTCAGGGGGGGTGGGGCTGATGAACTTGGGGCAAGCGGAGCGGAAGAGCTCCTCGAACAGAGGAAGGGCATCGGGACCGCCGTGCTGGAGACGAAGGAGCTGCTCGCCGTACTTCTCACGCAGAGCCGAGTGGATAGTGTCGTCCAGACGAGTGGGGTGCAAAGCCACGCAGATCGCGATCAAAGCATACATCTGGTCGTTCTTCTTAGCAATGGCATCGTAGCTGTTGCCACCCTTTTGGAAGTTCTTGGTCCGCGAGACATAGACCAGAATGTGACTGAACATGCGAATAGCATCGCCGTAACGACGCATCATCATGTACGAGAAACCCACATAGTAGTAAGTGGTGAAGTGGGCTGCCATGACGCGAGCGAACATGGCCTTCTTGTTCATCTCAATGTCATCGAGAGTCTTGAGAGCAAGGCTGAAGTCTCCCAGCAAGCAGTGGACACGCAGCAGACCGATGATGGAGAAGTATCCCAGCATCTTATACAGAGGGCGGGAACCGTATTCACCAGCGAATGCCATCGGATCCTCTCCGCGCTTGATAGCAGCCAATTGTTCGTTAATCTGCGATTTCTGGATGAGAGAGTAAAGAACGTTGAGAACGGAGTAGCAGCCCCATGTGTTCGGGTTCTCACGCAGGAGTTGTGCCTCCTCTTCGTTGGAGCCGCTGCGGGCGACACGGTTACGGTAGCGGCAGAATGATTCAAACTGGTAGATGAATTCATCGATCACATCCCAGGCCCAGTAGTACTATACGAAAGCAATAGGTATGCGCAGTTAGCAATTGTCTCAACAGCAGCCATGACATGACATAGGCGAAACCACGGAGAAAATACACCGAGCCCGTGGAGATTTGCTTCCATAGAGCAAAGTGGGATAGAAATGAGGACGTACAGATGGCACCTCCAGCTCGACAGGGCCTTCGGAGTTCAGGATGTAGTGGAACAGGCTGCAGTAGTTGTCATAGCTTGCGAACTTGGTCTCGAGAGTGGCCTGGTATTCAAGTGGGGTTGCAGCAGCGGCGAGCTGAGCCTGGAGATCTTGCGTTTGGGAACCAGTTCCAACGGATGTTGTCCGCTCCAGCTCGCTCATGCCATCGTCAAAATTCACTTGCTCGCGGTAGTCGTTGACGAGGGCCTCCTCCTCGACATCGGACTCGTCGCCCAGGTTAGGGTGCGCATTGACGCGCTCTTCGTACGACATATTGACTCTGAAGGTGATCCGATAACGGGAAAATATCCAGTGAGATCGTATCGGGGCCGGTCGGCAGGCGAGAGCTGTGGAGGGAGATACGTCGTTCGGCGTTTGCTGGTTGACGTCGGCGTGTGGGATAATTGTTTCGGCGGCGTCGAATTTTGAGGGTTTTCGCTTGAAGAGGTTTGTGTTTATCTTATCTCTGCATATGAAGTGAGCTGAGTCATCTATGCATTTATGTCATAACTATCACGTGATCTTCATTGACTATCCAGGGACCTTTCCAAATCAGGAAGTGTCTTTCATTCTGTGCATACCCCGTCTTTGCCAGAAGTGAATTCTATGTGACCATGACGGAGCGAGAACCAACGAAATTTGCTTTTCCCAAACTGGGACAACCTATCTTCAGGCTATAGATGAGAAGCTTTGTGGCTTTACTTTCTTTATGTATAATCACTTGGATTACGACTGAGACTATTATCCTCTAAATGGATAGAACTCACAATCATGCAGAGCCTAGAGCAAACTAGCAAGCAGAAAGAGTCTAATCCTTTCCATGTGTTATGACAATAATAGTTGAATACCGGAACCAGGTCATTAAAGATCTCCAAAGCTGCTCGAGGGAAGGACCATGCAGAAGCAGGGCTTGGATCACTCACTGGACAAGACCTAAGGTAAGGTAAGCTCCAGGGTTTCTCCGGGTTCAGTGCAACATCAAGTTTGTGCCCCAGGTGGACTTTTGGAGACTGGAGTGCCATGTCCTGCACTGCCATTTTTGGGGAAAAGCCTGTAAAACCGTCTACTACAGGAGTATTATTTTATGACAGCCCTACCATACGGGACAATCGTGAGTTGAGAATATGGTGGATAAGAGGTAGGTAGTGTGAAGTATGGTATCAACCATGGATTAACGCTTGGGTACATGACGTAGCTATTTAGCAATATTCGAAGAGGCTCCTACCTACCATGCTTACATGCTGGATCTAGCGTTATGAAAGTCCTACGGGATACCATACTCAGTAGCTTCAACTCACCGTTCTCCCGCTGAGTAGCACACAGGTCGTCCTTCCATCCATCCATCCATCCATTTCTTTGACACGAACTCGAAATGATCTCTCCAAGAAATCAAGAAGCGAACATTCCAAAAAAAAAAAATAAAAAAATACCAGTCATAAACTTCACTGGATTTCTTGACAGTATCTAGTCATGCCAGCACTTCCAGCCAAGGACGCTGTTCTATCATGACTGCCAAATGAGACAGGCATTAGGCCATGCTCCGTTTTTGTACAACTTCGTTATGATGGATGCTCTTCAGCATACACATCCTGTCTGATAACAGGAATCTTTTGTCAACACTGACCGCTTCCTGACGCTCGTTACTGAACTCGTTACCATCATATCGATTTCGTCTCCCGCCCCATTGGGCCCTTTCACAACACTTCGACTCAACCCCATTCGTTTGCTTCGTCAGTATTCCATCTGTTTCGCACATTGGCTTACCTGGAGGTCGCCAAAGCATAATGGAGATGGGTTACCCAGAGCCTAACTCGAGTAACCGGCGGCCCTTGCGAAGGTATCAGCGCCCACGAGAGACTCAATTCTCAGGATCAGCTCCTCCACCTTCGTCAGCCTCCTCTTCAACGCGGCCAGGTACCGACACGTCTCAGCAAACAATCCTTGCGATTCCTCATCGCACAAGTCGGTGAGCAAAACAAGACAACTGCTATTGATGGCGTCGAGCAGGTATCGTGGAATCTGTTCAAGACCGTAGGTCTGGCGCTGTTGACGCAGACAACAACCGATTTCTTTCGCAGCCCGAAGTCGAATTTTAGTCGCTTCTTGGATCTCTGGCGAGTTCTGTGGTTGTTCAGGCATAATGTGCTCCAAAAGAAAGCTGAACATCGACATGATTGTTTGGTGACATTTGATCCTGCAATTGTGGGTGAGGACTTCGTTACTTCGTACTGACACAGGCCCCATTCTTACCGCAGGAACGAGAAGTGTGGCATATACTGATCTTCATATTCCATAGCGCCCTTCAGATCTACGAGCCACGTTTCTAAGCGCGAAAAGAACACCCTCGCAGTTGCCCAGAGTCGCTCGACGGTTATCTCGAACACCTTTTCAAACAACAGCTCTTGGATGTCCACCGTGATCAGCGTTAGGTCGGCCAACTTCCGCATGGCATAACGAAGACGGGCCGGTTTTCTGACATAGTCAAGCCTGTTCGTAAGAGGGTATGGGCTCCACATGGTTTTGTCGGTAGCTTCTTCCTCGCTGGACAGGTTGGAGTCGGGATGTTTTAAGGCTGACACTCTGTGTAGTTCCATAGAGACCTGCCTGTCACAAAAGATCAGCCATGCATGTGGCGGCACTGGATGCTTTCGGCCGTACGAGTTCATGATATAAATTCCCCATGCAGTGATTGATGCGACACGCTGAGATTGCATGGACCACCTTCTATGAGGTAATGCTCTTGATATCTGGAAGAGCCCAAAATCTTGTGCAAGTTGCACACCTTGCTTAAGCATGAGCCAGCCAAGTTGACACTTCCCTTGAGATTTCAAACTGATTCAGAAACATTAGCGTCTCGAACCACGAGTAGTGAAGTTAGAGGCGTTCCAGCTTCAAGAACGCTCAATGCAAGCGACATACACATAACTCATCAGGACTACCGCCTGGATATTCGCCAGCGAAGCTTGGCCTTCTTC